CAAATATATTATTTGAAATTATAGAAGCTTTTGAAAACTTGAATTCATTCCTAAAAATAGAAAAAATGAGAAAACTGCTTTAGAAAGCAATCCCACGCGGTAGTATCTCTTCGGGACGTATCGAAACCACTCCGTCCCGAAAAACCGTTAATTTGAATTTAAAACCTACCCCAGTGTTTGAAAATCAAGGATTGTGAGTCTCACACTTCACCGTTTTTCTTCAAACTTGTTCCGTACAAAGCTTCACAGAAATACCTTTCAGTCGATACATTGTTTTCGTGTACAAAGTACCTCGTTTTAGCGGCGTTTTGGTCCCCAGCTTCGAGATAAATCAAATTTTCATAACTTTCAACTGTAAGCCAAGTTATCTCGCCAGTCTTTTACCCATTCTCGCTCTGATTTCAGAATGGACTCCCATTACAACCTTCCATCGCTACGTTTTGATTTTTGGGCATCAAACGCAGCAGTTTCTAAATCATCCACACATCTCTTAAAATTTGACTAATACGTCCCGTCACCTTCCACTACGCCCCGCCGAGTCTATGACTACAAACGTGGAGTTGTATTCTAAAACATTTTGTTCATCGTTGTGTAATTTTACATAGGTTTGCCTTGGTCGATTCTTGACACCAGTCTTAAGTATAACTTAAAATTAAACTGTTGTATTTCAGGAATATGTATTTTTTCTTCATCATGTATGATTTTCAATAACCCTACAGGCACCACTTTTTTTTAGCTAAATCCATCGGGAAACTTTGCCACGCTTAATTTCAAAATAACGGAGATGTTATCAAAATTGAGCAATATTGGCACAAAAACGTTTCTAGATTCATATAAAGAATGCATCATCATACAACACTAATTGGTATATAAACAACATCTACTGACTTGGTGTGATAATGTAATATAAAGATTTTAACTGTTGTGTGTCAACCTTTCTTCTGTATGATTCCATTGGATTACATTATGAAACGTGTACCATATTATAAAATGATACATGTTTCTAACGTTATGCTGAAAATAATATAATTGACATCACCCACCCTTTCGCATTTTAACATTTTTTCAAGGATAGGGCACTTTAAACGTTTCTTAAAAATATTTTCAATTGTTCAGTAATTAAAATCTCTATATTGCAATATCGGGAAATCTAAATTTTAGGGAGATTTTGGACCACCCTATTATAGGTATATTGAAAATGGACAAGAATGGGTAAATCTTAAAACACAATCCGATTGGTATTTAGAATCGACAATGGCAACCTACAAGCGGACACATGGATGGACAAATTGTTTTAGAATGCAACTCTACGTGTATAGTGATAGACTCGGCGGGGCGTAGTGGAAGATGACGGGACGTATTGGTCAAATTTGAAGAGATGTGTGGATGATTTAGAAACTGCTGCGTTTGATGCCCAAAAATCAAGACGTAGCGATGGAAGGTTGTAATGGGAGTCCATTCTGACATTATGGGCGAGAATGGGTAAAAGACTGGCGAGATAACTTGAGTTACAGTTGAAAGTTATGAAAATTTGCTTTATCTCACAGCTGGGGACCAAAACGCCGCTAAAACGAGGTACTTTGTACACGAAAACAATGTATCGACTGAAAGGTATTTCTGTGAAGCTTTGTACGGAACAAGTTTGAAGAAAAACGGTGAAGTGTGAGACTCACAATCCTTGATTTTCAAACACTGGGGTAGGTTTTAAATTCAAATTAACGGTTTTTCGGGATGGAGTGGTTTCGATACGTCCCGAAGAGATACTACCGCGTGAATCCATTCTCTTTTTATGATCACAATTATTGTTTCAGACAACTTTTCAAAATTTCAAAGCTCCTATGACATGTGATATATTGGGCACATTTTCTGAGAAGTCTTTCACATGATGTTTAGGGTCATTCATTCATACAAACTAGAGAGAGTATGAGAATATTGATTAATCCAATCTGAGTAATATGATAGATAGTTGGTTCTTCAAAAAGAGAGGTTTACTTAGATTTTGAATATCAATATAGATTTGGATCAAGAATCTGATCTTTTTAACTTACTTAACTTTAAGCATGCAGATAAATATTCAATGGATTTACATAAAATGCAGAGTTCCTGTGACAATGGCATTTATTTTTAATGATCAAGAAAGTACTTTGCACCCTCCCGCCAAGTTAGGAAGAAGCCAGAGCTTTCATTCTGGTACACATCGCATCTAGAAACATGTCTGTGTCTATCATGTAAGAAGAGAGGGTCAAGGTATTCCATGATGGAGAATTTTGGAAACCCTTCTTAGAAATTGCTATGCTGAAAATGGGCTGTTGGTATACACTGTGTACAAGTAATGCAGATTGTTCCGATTTTCACTACGGCGATTGAGTATTTTGTTCAAAATTGAATACAATATTGAACAAACGGAGCAAATGTGACCCAGGCATCAGTTTAGTATGAATTTATTTTGTTAGGATGCCAGTCAGACCTATTGATGCAAGTTCTAAGTTTGCAAACATGCATGTCAACCATGGCCAATTGGAAAAGTGCACCCCTTCTATATGATAATATAAACCCTTCCTACACCTTGGTTTAGCTTTGGATCACTATGCTATCACTATGTGGCAGAAATGCATTCTGATTGGATATAAATGATCACATGACTTAGTTCACCAAGGTATCAGGAGATGGCATGCCAAAATGTAAAATCTCTAATAGTGTTAGCCTTTTGTCGTCGGAAAGTATTTCGATCCACTTTTGAGATATGGTGTCCAAAAGTAGGTCAAAATAAAAAGTTCTCTAAATTTAAGCTTTGAGTTATGAATTAAGGGTAGAATTTTCCCAGGAATCCAAATATGCAAACCAAATTTCGATTTCACCTCCGGTTAAGAAGTAATTGCGTTTTGAAAGCTTAAAATAGGCTAACTTTGGTGCCCCATGTTAATTCAATTGGAAAAAAGATTTTTATGAATTGTAAAAACAGAGATATAGATAATTTAATAGATTGATTGATAATGAAAGCCTTTTTAACAAGGGGACCTCAAAGGCCACCTAGATTCAAAATTTGGTCACCAAAATGCCTAGGTCAAAATCTATTTCAAATTCATAGTTTTTTCTTATTTTTGCATTTCTGACACTATACTTTCAAAACATTCTTCGAAATTTGGTATATTGAGAGCTTAAATTAAGCTTATAGTGAAAGCCTTTTGCCATCAGAAAGTATTTTGACCCTTTTCTGAGATATGGTGTCCGGAAAGTAGGTCAAAATAAGAAATTCTCCAAATCTAATGTGTGAGATATGAAATAAGGGTAGACTTTTCCACGGGTAGTATCTAAAGCCCCGCTATGATTTAAAAGTCGCGAGCAAGTTCCCGCTGAAATCGCGAGGAATAAAAAGAAGTCATGGGTTCTTTTTTGTGTTCTTGAATTGTATGATTTACAAAACGTTTTCTCTTAATTTTTCCCAATGATTACATGGTATTGAGACTAAAAAAGCAACTGTTGGAAAAAATGTATCACGAACGGTCGTTCTGTGGTTCGTTATTTGTCAATTGAAGAGAGAAAGTATCATTTTGAATCTTTATCTATATATTTCTATACGTTATTGGTGAAGAACGATGTTGTCCTGTGGTTGAAATAACGATAGTGATATGAAATAAAGATGTACCGAGTTTCACTTCCTAAAGCTTTACAGAACATTTTATATTTAAATTTTATCATATCTCTCAAGGCCCCGCTTCTAGCAGGAGCAATTAAGCAAAGATCCCGCTGAAATCAGGAGGGGGCCCCGCTGAAAACATGAGGAGGTCCCGCTGAAAACAGGAGCAAGTGTCTCTCAAAAATGGAGCGAATCCCGATTATACCCTGGAAATCTCCCACTTTCGTACCCACCTTGATCCACTATTGTACCCAGTTTGATGAATACATTATTTGTCAATACAATTCTCAATAACAGCAAACACAACTGTTAATATAGTTCATATTATGATACGTTGTTATGGAAAACTGCAGTATCATATTTTCATGCCATTTTACAGAATAAGAAAGATCATCTGAGAAATGTGATGAGTATTAGATCGGACGAAATGTTAAACATTTAACCTCATTTTCATAATTTGAAGTAATATAAGTTATTGAATGATTTGAAGTGCAATATAGCATATATTGTGATCAAAAAATTCTGTATTGGCACGAGATGAAATCAAGTAGAAATACAGCATATCGAGAGCACAATATATCCTATGTTGCGCTTCAAATCGTTGTATAACGTTTTTTATCGTGTGATCTTACTACAAAGTCCGTAGGAAATATTCTGTATTCTCTGTATTGCAACTGTCCCCTCTGTTCCATCTTTGAGTACACGTCGATATTCAGTAAGATACACGAATAAGCGTGCGTTTAGGTCAACATAAAATGACTTAGTCAGAATAATGTTTATGAATATTATTCCTATATCAATCTCCTGTTGCTTACTTGCTTGCTCGCTTCCTCCCTTCCTTGCTTCTTCGCTTCCTTCCTTCCTTGCTTCCTGGCTTCCTTCCTCGCTTCCTCACATCCTTCTTTCCTCGCTTCCTTCCATCCTTACTTCCTTCCATCCTTGCTTCATTCCTTCTTTGCTTCCTTGCTTCATTCCTTCCTTGCTTCCTCACCTCATTCTTTCGCTTCCTCCCTTCCTAGCTTCATTCCTTCCTCATTTCCCTCCTTTCTTTCTTGCTTCCTTCCTTGCTTCCCTCCTCGCTTCCTTCCTCGCTTCCTTCCTCCCTTCCTTGCTTCATCGCATTCTTGCATCCTTCCTTCCTCGCTTCCTTCCTTCCATCCTTGCTTCCTTCCTTCCTTCCTTTCTTGCATCCTCCCTTCCTTGCTTCCTCACTTCCTTGCTTCTTCGCTTCCTCGCATCCTTCCTTCCTCGCTTCGTTCCTTCCTTGCTTCCTCCTTTCCTTGCTTCCTCGCTTCCTTGCTTCTTTCCCTCCGTGCTTCCTCACTTCCTTCCTTCTTTCCTTCCTCGCTTCCTTCCTTCCTTCCTTGCTTCTTTCCTTCCTCGCTTCCTACCTTCCTTTCTTCCTCGCCTCTTCTTTTCTTGCTTCCTTCCTTCTTTGCTTCCTTCCTTCCTCGCATCTTTCCTTCCTCGCTTGCTTCCCACCTTGCTTCCTTCCTTCCTCGCTTCATTCCTTCCTTGTTTCCTCGCCTCTCTCTTTCATCGCTTCCTTCCTTCCGTCCTTCTTCCTCACTTCCTTTCTTCCTTCCTTCCTTGCTTCATTCCTTCCTTCCATGCTTCCTCGCTTGCTTTTTTCCTTGCTTCCTCGCTTCCTTCCTTCCTCACATCCCTCCTTCATTCCTTGCTTCCTTCCTTCCTCGCTTCATTTTTTCCTCCTTCCTTGCATCCTCGATTCCTTCGTTTTTTTCCTCGCGTCCTTCCTTTTTTGCTTCATTCCTTCCTTGCTTCCTCGCTTCCTCCCTCGCTTCCTTATCTCCTCCTTCCTTGCTTTCTTCTTTCCTTGCTTCCTCGATTCCTTCCTTCCTCACTTGCATCCTCTCTTCCTTGCTTCCTCCCTTCCTCACTTCCTTCTTTTCTCCTTCCTTGCTTCCTCGTTTCCTTCATTCTTTCCTCGCGTTGTTCTTTTGTCGCTTCATTCTTCCTTGCTTCCTTCCCTCCTTGCTTCCTTGCTTTCTCGCCTTCTTACCTTACTTACTTCCTTCCTTGCTTTTTTCCTTCCTTCCTTTCTTGCGTCTTTGCTTGCTTCCTTCCTTCCTTGAATGAATGAACGGTCGGACAAAGAAGCCAATGAAATATATGTGTCCTCAGAAGTATAATCCATGGAATAGTTAATTATGTAGAATGTACATTTAACTCCGAAATGTACAAAGTCTATTCATATATAAAAATTTGATCATGCCACTGACAGATGGATTAGACTGCCTGAAGTTGAAGAAGAAATATTTGTGATGTTGCCATAGAATGATATGTTATGTGATTGTCATTAATACGTTATTTGCACATTCGTGTACGTTCATATAAAGAAGCTCACTATATTCATGGAATAATGATGAAGCTTTCCTCGTGATCAAAGCGGGTAGTCATGTTTGCTCGTGTTTTCAGCGGGGTCTCCTCATGTTTTCAGCGGGGCCTCCTCATTTTTTCAGCGGGGCCACTGGAACACCTTTAATAATGTATTTCGACCCCCATGGCAGGTGTATATTTGATATGTGGATCAAGACATCATATTTTAGCCAAAAATTCACAAACCATCGAATATCACTTTTAAACTATCGAATATCACGTCTTAAAAAGTGATATTCGATGGTTTGAAAAGTGATATTCGATGGTGTCGAATTTTTTCAACATTTTTTCACAATTTTTTAAATTATTTTTTCAAATTTTTTCTTAAATTATATTTTTCAAATTTTTTCGCTGATGATAATTTCCCATGGGATGAACGGACAATCCCATGGTTTTTCAAAAATGTCAATTATATCCACTCATGGATATAAATATCTTCACTCATTCGCTGCGCTCATTCATGAAGATATCAATATCCACTATTGGATATAAATGATATTTTTTCAAAACCATAGGATATTCCTATGATATTGCATACAAAGAAGAAAGAGTTATTTGAAACTTGTCAGAAGCCGTGGAATAGATTTAAATCTTCTCTTGGTTTTCTCGATGGAGTCAGGTCGAAATACTGTTAGTGAAATGGTTTTATTGGAATCATGCTCGTAGCCAGCTTTTGGTAAGGGGGATTGCTCGACCCCCCCCCTCAATAATAACAATGACAATGATATGTGATATGCATGTGTGAGTATCAATAATTAATAAATCTATTACGTTGGCTACATTCGCGGCAGATTTGCTGATTAAAATCTTGCTTCACTCCATTTTGGAGACACATTTGCTCCTGATTTCAGCGAGACCTCCTCATGTTTTCAGCGGGGCCTCCTCATGTTTTCAGCGGGATCTTTAGTTTATTGCTCATGGTAGAAGCGGGACCCTGAGGGATATGGTAAAATTGAAATACATTTTTTGTGAAACTTTAGGAAGTGAAACTCACATTACCTATGACCATTTCAACTGAAGGGCAACGACCTTCTTCAGCTATAAAATATAGAAATATAGAGATAAAGATACATTCTCTCTCCAATTATCAAATAACGAAACTCAGAATATCAGCTCGTGATACTTTTTTGCAGCAGTTGCTTTTTATTACAATACCATGTAATGATTGAGTAAAATTAAATGAAAACGCTTTGAACAGCATACAATTCAAAGTGTCTGTTCCATGCTCATGTGGTCAAAATACAGTTTATCACCCTGCTATAGCGTCTGGAAACGAGGTTGGACGGCTACGTTCACTGATTTATCATTTAAAATGGCCGTGATGGAACACAAAACTAAGGTTGGTGCATTATTTTCTACTACTGTGTAACAACGAAAGGATGAACGATTTATGTAAGTATCGCATTCGGTGATGCATTAAGTAATGTATATTTTGAACGTAGTCTTTGCAAATTGATGCCCGGGGATAACATGAAATAAGCAAAAAACTGTTGAGTTTGAAATTCAAATTACACAAAATTTAGTAATTTATTTATTTCTGTCATTAGGGCATGGTCTGCATTGCCTAACGACCTCGAGGTATATAGATGTAGCCTACATATGATCATAAATAGCCAATTGAGCATTGGAAATTAAACCACCTCATGTGTTCTACTCAAGCCATATTTTGAATTTGCGGCTACGCAAAAAATTGATGGACGATTACACGAACCTCGTTCAAATATGTATCCCTGATTCATTGCTATTAATTTTGTCATATTCATCAGTACTTGATGTTAATTCTCCTTTTGCCTCTTCATTGCTATCTTTTTGACTTTCATTGGTTTCATAAATAAAGCAAGACACAATTTTTTCCTTGCCCTATAGAGGCTCAAACAAGAGTGTCTCTTGCCAGTCCTGAAAACAAATATAAGCAATTCAATATTCCATGTCTTACCAATTATAACAATGACGTGGAAATAGGCTATCAGAACTAGCAACCTTGACTTGAAATGTGTACATGCACATAACCGTCCGCTAAATATCTAATGTACAACTAATACAATAAGTTACCTGCTTCTAGTAACCCACCTGGCAGATTTGACCCAGTCTTTATAACCATCCATATATACGTCACCGAATGGAACTAGTTGAAAAGGAAATCTTATCTGTGAATCTTGAGAAAGTGGACATGCTGTCTTTCCCACCCGCCATTTTTTGTTATCGTTACCGCAAAGTTTTGCAAATCGCCTTGACGTAACCGTCATGCTATAACACCGTGGTTTATACACGTTCTAAATGAAGTAAATACCACTAACATGTCAAACCAGGTACCGTTCTTGTAAATATTTTATAAATGTGAAATTTGATGTTCAAAATCGGGAATACAATGTCAAATGCAAATCATGACATCATGAACAGAACGGGTTTTGAATATATGTAATTGATTGCAACTGCATTCAATGAAGTGAGGAATGGATTCAGAGATGATTACTTTTGAGCCACGTTTTTTCCTCCGATAAACAAAAAATATAATACCTTCCGACTATATATATGATAAATATAATAGCTTCCGACCCAGCGGTGCGTTTTCACATAGCTAGGCATGCAGAATTACTTTCTGGCCAGGCAGAACACAATATAGAAAATAAACACGCTCAGTTGATAGTATTACATAACTCAAGCTGTCTAGAATCTTTTAATCAAAAGGCATTGAACCATGAGGTGATTTCGGTAAGCGTTACTCCTTTCTGGCCAATCAGAACACAATATAACGTAAACAATTTTAACTTGGCACTTAAGTTGCATAACGCATTGCCGTTAACACCCCAGTCACATTTGTCGTACGGAGGCCGTGCGTTGATCGCAGATCAATTAAATCAGTGAATTTCTGCGGCGAGCGTAGAAAAACTACGCTCGCCTTGCGGCCTCCGTACGGCGTATCCAGTTTTTAACAGGCCGCAGGGTAGCCGTAGAAATTATAACTCAGAGTTATAATATTTGTTTCATTTCTGCGGTCCCCGTAGAAATCAACAGGCCGTTGCCAGACCGCAGAAAGGTCCAACGGTGGCGGCACGTCGGGTTTGCCGTTGACTTGCGTCGACTATAGGGTTTGATGGGTAATGCACCTTTGGAAACAGTTTTTATATCAGTTTTCGGTCATTTATTTGCTGTTAACACAACACAATACGTATACCGTTTGATGTAAGGTCACTGATACCACAGCAACTTATATTTCTCTTGCTCTTTTTATTCGATACTATATTCTTACACTACAAACAACAAAATGCACTGATGTAGATAAAATAAAAAGAAGAATTAACGTTAATCAACAGAAATTCAAAAACTCGCCGTGTGGCTGCCGTAGGAAATGTGACTGCAAAAGTATCTGACCGCAGAAATTCTACGGCGAATGTAGAAATGTTACTGACCGCAGAAATGATAGACCGCACGATCGCCGAAGAAATGTGACTGGGGTGTAAAAATCCATAACCGGTCCTGTTCGTGACGTCATGTTTTTTCCCGGGAAATCTTATTTTGCCACTAATGAACAAACAGAATGAGTTGAGAGTCTGTTTGAATACTATTTTTACTCACCAATATCTGTTTAATCTATTGTAGTGAGAAAAAATAAACAGATATTACCGAATTAGCAATTTAAGTAAACAAAATATAACCCTTCTTTTCTTTTAATTGCTCGCGATTTCAGCGGGAACTTGCTAGCGACTTCTAAATCATAGCGGGGCTTTAGATACTACCCGTGATTTTTGCTTACATTTAGTACTCTTTGAAAATATGATAAAAAGGGTAGCATGTCAACGCTCACTTCGAAGTGTCATGTTTAAATACAGCGTAGTATACCCTTCTCTCGAAAGCCCCTGGTCATAATCAATCAACGATTTACCTCGATGGTTCTCATTATGTTATATGAAGAACAGAACGTAATGATTGAAAACTCATTGCCTCCTTTATAAAATTCTATATACTTTTATTTTTTTGTTTCAAGGTTCTGGCCGGTCAGGCCGTGTGCAGGAACTTTTGACCACAGTTTTATATCACTGCATTAATGCGTCTATAAATTATTTCATTTCCAGAAAACAGATGTGGCCTCAAAGCACCGGTAAACCAAGGACTAACTCGATCTGGAACTGCGCATTTTCTAGACCAAGTGCGGAATGGGACAGGATATCTTGCTCTAAGATAACTCGAGCTCTCTGCAAGAGATCATTAGGTAACAGTCCGTACAATTCGTCAGCCCGTCTGGGAAATAGCTGGTAAAAAATACCAATTGTTCTCCATATTTGTTAGAAAGATTATAATTGGTGAAATATATTTTACAAGATGGCCGCCGCTTTGAAAATGGCGATAATCTAATCTATTAATTTCCAAAATTTTGAAATTGTCCAAAAACTTAATTTTGGTAGTGTTAACTTGGAGATATTTCTGAAGCATGACTTTAATTATATTCAAGTGAAAGGCATTTCAGATAATATTGCAATTATTATATCATTTTACAGATTCCTGCCTTGTAAAATTCAAAATGGCTGCCTGATATGGAAAATTATGTATTACTATTAGCACTTCAGAAAATATATAACATTCACATATCACCCGCGTTTCGGGCGAAGTTTGAAGTGCATGTAACCTGGAATTTGTTGATCTAAGGGAGATTTAACCCTAATTTGGACAATGTATTTTTATTAACCTCTCGAAGTAGCTGTATCAAAATATCAAAAACTAGGTCAAACGAGATCTAAAGTTGGTCAAAGTAACCCAGGGAGAAATTTGTTGTGTATTTATTAAATTTTTATGAAAAAAATTTACAGGGTGGGCCAAAAAATGTCAAGGGTCAAAATCATGATTTACCAATTGCTGAATACAGAATGCTAGGAACTGACCAGACAGATGTGGGGATATGATTCTAATGATAGAAGATTTAAATTGTTGATTCATGTATTACATGAGAGAAAATTGTAACATTGTAACATTGTAATTGTAATTACAGATATTATTGAGTTTTTACCCTTTTGATAGGTACGTTCTGTTGTGAAGTCCGTATCAAATAGTTGAATATTTGTCTTTTTCGAGACATTTTGGAGAATGGCAAAAATATTATGTACCTGTTTAATATATTTATGCATAACCATATTTATGATTTTAAACGGTTAAAAAACTTTAACGTGGCATTAGGACAAAATTGAAAAATCATGTGAAATATATCTTTTGCAACCTTCAAAACAAAATAATGTTTACATACCACGTAAGAATGATATCTGACGAACACTACTTTTCTGCGAAAATTGTTTGCGAAGCAAACATTGCCACTGTGAGACAAATGTATACCGTCTCTGTAATATTTCGCCTCGGCTTCAACTTTAAACCCTTTATTGGGCATAATGTTTATGTTATTGCACGATGACGCTTTTTCGGACAATGTATGTAATGTATAGAATTATAATGTACATAAGGACGCTTTAAACGAGAAATACATGTCCGATGACAACTGTCTTTATAGGCGAGGTGTGAAATTCTCAATTATGCACTTTAAAGGAGTTTAATAGTTATTAAAAGTACGTGTCATACATCAATCTCTTCATTTATATATGCTTTCAGTGAAGAAATATGTGTTTTAAATTGAAATGAGGGACAATGATGTTTAAGACGCCTGTTTCCATGGCAACTAAATTTTGCCTCTGTTAACGAGGACTCTTTTTGCATTTAGGTATATATCTTATTCTTGGTCCGATTTTGATGATATTAACGCCAAATGAAAGCTAGGTGAACAAGGATTGTGATTGACTAGTAATGTTTATAAAAATCAGCTCATTTGCACATTCATATTGACGTCATAACCCGAATTTCTCGTTAATTCTTGGCCGTTTTTTAGATTATGTATTACATAAACTTTTTTTTAATTAAAATATTATTGTGTTATAACAATGTCTCATTGTATTCCAGTCCTTCGTTGTCATAGCTTCATAATGGCATATATGTCGAGTAACTGGAAATAGTACAGTTGATGAGATTCTAAAGTTGTATGTTTGAAATCCTAAGTGCTGATAAACAATACCCTTTTGAGGAAGGTGAAATTAGAAATACGATTTCTTTATTCTTTTATCTTTGTTGAGATTTTTATGATTTTAGTACCAACTGAAAGCTACAAACTATTTTTATACAAAGCCCTTCTCACAGCAGCTTGCCATTCACGTAAGCTTCGCAAACATATCAAAATGATCCGAATTTTTTGAACTTGAAGAGTTTAATACCATATCAACAAGTAGCTAACGGATCATATTTTGTAAAATACACATATCCATGTAATGTCTGGCCCCATGAAATGTAAGAATATTGCATATATCATGATGAAGATATGGGACCTTTTTTACTTGAACCTGATAATTGGCATTTGCGGGGGGAGTAAAATTGAAAAGCCGCCTTATGCTGAAAAGTTTTGAAGAACTGGAAATTCAGGAATAATTGTCCCTTTGGATGGTTGGGAATTGACATTTCAGGAATACACCCTATGCAGACAGAGCCTATTTTCACAATTGTATTGATATTTGGTGTCAAATACACATATCTTGGTATATTTGAAGTCCCAAAACGGCTTAGTTTCAGAAATATCCCAAATTTAAATTCAAAAATGACCGTTAGCTCCGCACCCTCCGCTCATTTGCTCCGCACCCAATATTTCCCACAGGCTCTGTCTGCATAGGGTGGAATAATCATAGATACTAATTAAACTGTTAAGAGGCCTGACTGCATGCCACATACTTGCGTATTATGTGTTTTCAAATTTCTGGTATGTCTATCTGGAAAGTGAGAATACTGTCAATACCATAGATGATGATAAAGGTTAACTATTAATTTAGTACTACTCTTTTCTAGAATACACACAATGCGAGGATACACTGTTTGAAATACCGCGCTTGATGTTGATGTTTTCTAAATGTTAAATTAGTTACTTTTTTCAGCCCCGTATATCTTAGGAAGATCCCATTTGTTTTTATGAACTTCAAATATTGTTTACAATATTAAAGTTACTAGTTCTCTATAATTGACGATAAATTAGTTACTCGAATATTACACGAGATATAGCATAATGTAGACATTTGTAAAAATCGTGATTGTTTATTGAAATATGTGAATTTGTCAAAAAATAATAGAATATAATGTTTGAAAGAAACTGTTCCCCTTGACCTAGTTTGTTATTTTTTAGTCATTGGCCTAGGTATCTGGACTGAATGGGGAGAGTGTTCAAATACATGTGGAGATGGAAATAGGATTCGTACTCGAAAATACGATAACCCAACACCAGCTGATGGAGGGAATGATTGCAATTACAACAATGATCTTATGGAAACCGAGTTCTGTAAACTTATAGATTGTCCTGGTATGGCAATTATGTACCTGACGTCAGATTTGAACTCCCTGCAGCTTGTTAATGCTTTTTTTTTAAATCAGAAGGCCATTGAATATCAAGGGGATGTCAAACATTCAAAGCTGACGTTAGTAATCATGAACTCCATGCAGTTTTAAGCAAGTTGAAAAATGTTTCAATAATACAACTTAAAGTAACTTTCAATGGTTTCATCTTAAAATTAAAGTGACTTTAAGAGACTTTAGAGGCTAAAATTAGGGATTTCAAGTAACAGGAAAATAGTCTTTAGTTACCTTTCTTTTAGGACATGTAGGATGGGTTCATATGCCAAAAACAGCTGATCCATGGATATATATATCATTTGAAAATTGGAAGCAAGAACGTTTTCTGGAGGCCATGTTTTTGACAGTCATCACAGGAAAAATATCTAAATGAAAACTGGATTAACATCATTAAAGGTGCAATAATTAATGCAGAGGGGTCATTCAACGATCATGGACCAGTGTCAAAATATATTTAAGTTAGGATATTTCATCAAGGCTAACATCTATTTTTATGATCTGCAAAGAAACCCCCTAGATAAACATTATTTTAGCTGATATTCCTCTTGAAACATGGTGGATCTTAAAAATATAAAAGTGGAAGTCCCCTTTTTGAAGCTTTGAACTGAATTAACACTTCTTAATGCTGAAATTGATAATTTATCCATACATTTTAAGAAAATAGGTATGTCAAAGAAGATGTTAAACCAAATGTTGCCTTGATAGCTCAGAAAAAATGAAAAAACTTTCCTATTTTCTTTACAGTCCTTATTGCCCCTTTAATTCTTAATTTGGCGTCGAATACTTTCTTAGATATGCATTCTAAAATGATCATAGACTATTTTTGATAATTGTGGTGTAGCGGTAAAAATATTATCAAAAATTAACAGTATATATTAAAAATTACACTCCAGATTCAAGCTTAGGCCATGCCTAATGGTTAGATCAAATGTCTATGTATGGCTTTAAAACCCTTGAGAATATTAAATATGGAGTGTCGTGTAAAACAATTATTTTAAAGATATTGTGTTTCAAAATGAAGGAAAACAAAATTTAAAAATAAAAATATAATCGAAAATGTGATTAGGACCCAGAACTTGGGAACAAAATACACGAGATCTAACCTTAACACCATATAGTCAAAGCTGATTGAATAGACATTTTGTTTGGTTATATCATCATTTTCGAAGAAAAGTATTTTTAAACCCTTAAATTTCTTGAGAATGATCAACTTTACTACTAATGATATCATTATGCCTGTCTGATTAAATATTTTGCTTTACCTTCAGAATAAATGTTGTTTTATTCAGTTTTCATTTAGGGAATGACTTCCTGTCAAAGCTTTTAAAAATGCATGGCCCAGCACAAAAAAAAGTAATTAGAAAATGATATTTATCCTTGGGTCAGTTGTTGTTTGCACCTGAACTCATCCTAATAGAAAAGTGAGACTATTTTGTTGAGTCATATGGCTTGAAATCTCAAATTTCTCCCTATACGTCTTGGATAGACACCTTAATATACCAGTTCTTCCACACTGGCAACGTAAAAGGGCTTCCTAAATAGCAAAATCAGTATTACGATGTATTTCGCATTAACAAAAGATTTGAGGTAAAATAAAAGATAACAAAACGAAGGAATTGTATTGAAAAAGAACAGATTCTTTTTGGTCAGAAAAATGTATTCATGTTTTTAGTTGTTCCTAAGGCTAATTTTATTCTCAGTTAATGGAGGTCTTGGTGAATGGGTAGCATGGGGACAATGTACAACCACATGTGGAGATGGAGAGAAAATCCGCACCAGAGAATGCAACAACCCTGCACCTGCTTATGGAGGAACTGAATGCTATGTTAACGATTTGACAGAGAGTATGTCCTGTAAAGTACAAGGGTGTCTTGGTATGTCATTAAACTGTAAGAAATCAATGCGCATATTGTATTATTGCCTGTAGCATTTTCGATAATATAATCACATTTGTTCCTTGTTAAGTAATGCTGATTTCGTCTCTAGTAAATGGAGGTGTTGGGCCTTGGACAGCATGGGAACAATGTTCTACCACCTGTGGAGATGGTGAGAAAATCCGCACCAGAGAATGCAACAACCCTGCACCAGCTTATGGAGGAGCTGAATGCAGTGTCAACGATTTGACAGAGAGCATGTCCTGTAAAGTACAAGAGTGTCCTGGTATGTCATTTAACTGTTAAAAATCCATGAGAATATTGTAAAATTGCATGTAGTCTTCTCCATAATATAACTACTTTTGTTCCTTATTAACTTTGATGATTTTGTTTCTAGTTAATGGAGGTACCGGTCATTGGACAGCATGGGCACAATGTTCTACCACGTGTGGAGATGGAGAGAAAATTCGCACCAGAGAATGCAATAACCCTGCACCAGCTTATGGAGGAGCTAAATGCTGTGTCAACGATTTGACAGACAGCGAGCCCTGTAAAGTACAAGAGTGTCCTGGTATGTCATTAAACTGTTAGAAATCAATGAGCTAATTGTGAATTTGCATGTAGTCTTCCCCATGAAATAACAGTTTTTGTTCTTTATTAACCAATGCTATTTTGTTATTAGTAAATGGAGGACCTGGTCCCTGGACAGGATGGGAACAATGTTCTACCACCTGTGGAGATGGTGAGAAAATCCGCACCAGAGAATGCAACAACCCTGCACCAGCTTATGGAGGAGCTGAATGCAGTGTCAACGATTTGACAGAGAACATGTCGTGTAAAGTACAAGAGTGTCCTGGTATGTCACTTAACTGTTAGAAATCCATGATCTTATTATAAAATTGCGTGTAGTCTTCTCCATAATATAACCGTTTTTGTTCCTTATTAACCAATGCTATTTTGCTATTAGTAAATGGAGGACCTGGTCCTTGGACAGCATGGGAACAATGTTCTACCACATGTGGAGATGGAGAGAAAATTCGCACCAGAGAATGCAACAACCCTGCACCTGCCTATGGAGGAGCTGAATGCAGTATCCACGATTTGAAAGAGAGGATGTCCTGTAAAGTACAAGAGTGCCCTAGTATGTCATTAAACTGTTAGAAATCCATGAGCTTATTGTAACATTGCATGTAGTCTTCCCAATAATATAACCGTTTTTGTTACTTATTAACCAATGCTATTTTGTTATTAGTAAATGGAGTACCTGGTCCCTGGAGAGCATGGGAAGAATGTTCTACCACCTGTGGAGATGGTGAGAAAATCCGCACCAGAGAATGCAACAACCCTGCACCAGCTTATGGAGGAGCTGAATGCAGTGTCAACGATTTGACAGAGAGTATGTCCTGTAAAGTACAAGAGTGTCCTGGTATGTCATCGATCTTTTAGAATCCATGAGAATATTGTATTATTGCCTGTAGCATTTTCGATAATATAATCGCATTTATTCTGATTCTAACAGTTTGCCGTCAGGGAGCCTAATTAGTACAATTAAATGATAATTTAATTAGCCCAATTAAAGGGATATGTTTCATAACTTACTTAGAATCATCCCTTAATTAGCTTAATTAGGCTAATTATCTATTGATTCTTATTAAATTAAGGTTGGACATATGCCCTAAAGATATTTTATTGTTTGGCTTACCTTATTATGTTCAATTATAATCTATTTTATGGAGGCGACGGCTTTTGTGAATGGATGTTGACCCTTTGAAACGCCTATGGACTTGGAGACTTGATTTTATCTATCCACATCATTTGAGACTGAATGCTCTATCTTTTATGAATACTTGTATCTACAACTATTTTTGAGGTCATGAGTATTGGCTATCAATTTCTAATTTTTTCTTCAACATGTATTGTAATGACTTCAGTATGAATGAAATGTCCCTTGGTCTTCTGGTCTTGGATTGTGATATTGGTTCTTAAATAGTGGGGGAAAGGGGGTATTAGACATTGTTTCTTTTCACGTTAGATCATGATTTTGGGCTATATGGGGTTTGTTTTTCTTGACTGGTATGCACTTAGAGTTTGCTTTTTCTTGCTAAGTACCATTACATCTTTTGGTCCTTTCCCTTTGGCACAAGTGCTTATATGTATCAGATGCTGGCACAGTTTTGCCGGAAGTTTGCAAGAAGTAACTTTTGGCAATGCAGTATGTTAGAGTAACCTAGTAGGTGTCAGAAAATATAAGGTGATGGCCTTTAAAGTGGTAAAAACAATTTTCATGGCCGAATTGGACTTCAATTCCTGCGATTTCAGGGGGTACTATAAGACTATTTCATAACATAAAGGATATAGTTGCTATTGTTCTGCTTTCTACAGCACACATTACTAGTCCAAAGATGAATAATATCTTAAAGTTATAGGCCGATATCTGTATTAGTCTCAGAAATATTGCAATTAATAGGAAAAAAATATGCAATTTTAGTCATTTTTAAGTCTCACGTATCTTATATTTGTAGCTTCCAGCAAAAGATGACAGCTTAAATAGCTCAAAATTGTTTTCTAAAAACTAATTCAAGCTTTGTTTGATATTGTAATACAATTATAATAATGATAATGTACTATTTATGATTTTTAATATGACTTTATAGTACCCTACCCCTGGAAAGTGGACGTGGTCAATGTTATCATTTTGCAGCATACAATTAAAAACTGGTATTGATAGAAAGCAAATCAATGCATATAAAACATCTTCACTTGTTACTTGACAATGTAATTCATTTATTATTAAAATATAGGACTCTACATATTTTATATATACAATTTCAATTTTGTACAATCTATCATAATGAAATCTAATAGGCTGTTTCAATTTACAAACTTTTTCTCGGATCACCCTTACCTTTTGACAAAATGATCTACTATATGACCAATAGCCACAAAAAATAGCAGAACTGATCAACGTTTAACCCCCCCCCCCTACCCCTATGTTTGTTTTGTATGGGGTCCGCCACAATGCAACAAGTCCATTTTCAGTGCTTACTATCACATGGAATATAAGTCACAATGTTTCCACAATATCTGGGCAATGAGATACCGCATTAAGAATATGTATGCCCAGATTCAAGATCATGGTGTAAATGCTTGCCGTTCTATCGGCTTTCAAAAATGAGGAAAGCTGTCTTGAGTGCCGTTTCAACTAATTTTGAATTAAAACTGCTACTTATGAATTTTTTTCTCAACAACAGTGATTTGGTTAGAGTCCAAACACAGGATATCAAGACATAGTGCTACCAAATTCTGGTATTGAAAATTTCAGAGCTCTAAATCAAGTATTCATATCTGCATGGACTCTTAAAAAGACCCAAAAGACACAAAATGCAGTCAGATATCGCGGAAAAATGTGACAAAATGCACTATTCAGAACAATTTATCTCTTAAATTTTACTTTTATTTACCATAATTTCTGATTCTGCCTCTAGTTAGTAATACCAATAATACATATGAGTAGACTTAAGGTCATAGTAAGTGTAGTTACAGATTTATTAGCATCTAAAAATGGGAGAAGCAGTGTAGCAAGTGCAATTTTCACCTATAATTCATGATATTAAACTGCAGCTTTCAGGATTTTCTTCTCTAAAATAAGAATTCCGTGAGACCCCAAAAGACAGGATTCCATATCACTGTACCACCAAATATATATGAGAGTAGTTTCAGGAGGTTATATCAAATAATCATTGAACCATTGACACCTAAAAATATGCAAAATACAGTCAGAAATGGTGAAATAATGATTGTGAAAAAATGTATGTATTCTTAAATTTTTTTTAACTAAACTGTATTTATTTAGAACTGAAACTTGAAGTGCTTACTAGGAGTTACATCTAGTTATTATTTATTAAGTGACTTCAGCATCCGGACGGATATAATATAGGAATATCCTATGGTTTTGAAAAAATATCATTTATATCCATGAGTGGATATTGATATTTTCATGAGTGAGCGCAGCGAGTGGATATAATTGATATTTTTGAAAAAAAAATTATTTATCCCATGGGAAATCATCATCAGCGAAAAAATGTGAAAAATATAATTCGGGAAAAAATTTGAAAAAATAATTGAAAAAAAATTGTGAAAAAATGTTGAAATTGTTTTTTTAATATTTTTGAAAATAATTAAAAAATGTAAAGAGAATTTTTTTTTGAAAAAATTCAAAACCATGGAATATCACTTTTCAAACCACCGTATATCACTTTTTAAGACGTGATATTTGATAGTTTAAAAGTGATATTCGATGGTTTGTGAATTTTTTGCTAAAATATTATAACTTGATCCACATATCAAATATATCTTCATGTGATATTCGATCTATATCCTTGCAACCATGGGATAATCACTGATATGCTTTTAAAAAGACCAAAAAACCTATAAAGAATGTTATTATTGAATACTGAAAATACATTGTTTTTACATTACGGAGCTTTATTTCTACCTGAAAGTATTTTGGAACATATCTCTTGCTTAAATATTTCATGCAATGTTACTTTCAAAAACTTTCTTAGTTAGAACAATTAGTCCATCCTATTCTTTCACATGTTATTCTCCATTTCGTTTTTAAAAATTGTGGGAGCTTTAAACTCTAGAAGAGCTTACGAGGGGTGATCAATAAGTAATGGACGCTTTTTTACACAGATACTTTTTATTGACCAATCCCTTTGATTTTCCTAACAGTGATACATAATTCAATTATCTATCAATTCTGAAGATTTGGAGACAAAATATATAATACATGTTGATATATCCTTATTTCCGTGAAGGAGGTACAGGTACCCCGGGACCGACATTTCTTCACATATTCAGTTTTTAGCCAGTTTGGTAAATTTGAGTTAGATTTGAACTTTTTATATGCAAGAAGTGTTGTATTGTTTGAAATTTTTTGCTGACTGGTAACACATAAACAGAAATAATTGTAATGTCAGAGTGTTGTATGGAAGGGGTTTGCAGGTCAATTTGAGAAAGCATTGTGGAAGAAAGGGGTGGTGAGAGACAGGAACACCCTACTCCATATGGACGATGCACCTGCCCACAGATCTCAAAATGTTCAGAAAACAATATCCCTGGACCTCAAAATTGAGCCGTTGGCCAATGCACTATATTGTCCCCATCTGCTTACATGTGACTTGTTTAATTCTATACTACTTATTTCTATAGAGAAAGGACGCAGGTTTATTAACATTGATTAAATAAAACAACCCATGCAACTGTATCTTGCTACAATGTCAGAGAATGGATTCAGCCTTGTCTCACAATCTTGAGTTAAGAGGATGAGGAATTGTGTACATGTAGCACTTGATGGAACCTATTTAGAGGGCCCTGTGGAATAAATATGGCATGAATACCACATAGTGATGATAAACTATTCAAAATCAGACAACTATGGCATAACAAAATGGGGTAATTCATGACCATAATGGTTTGTTTTGTTCAGCCTGCATTCAACTGCATTGCATGTTAAACAAGCTAAAATAGCTTCAGAATATGTGACGTAAATGTCGGTCCCGGGGTACCCATACCTCCTTCACGAAAATGAGGATATATCAACATGTATTATATATTTTGTCTTCAAATCTTCAGAGTTGATAGATAATTAAATGATGTATCGATGGTAAGAAAATCAAAGGGATTGGTCTATAAAAAGCATCTGTGTAAAAAAATGTCCATTACTTATTGATCACCCCTCGTAATTACCAATTATACCATGCACCCTCTTTGCCCTCAGTCGCATTTTTCTTAGAATGGCCAGGCATATTTCAAATTGAAGAGAAGTCAGTTAAAGTGATATATAGCTGTATATAACAACGTATCTTTCACTTGATACTGTGATGTCAAGCTTAAGCATTCAAACAGTGTATTTTGTCCCAAGATACAATAAAGTACTGATTTCATTTATTTATCAATTCAGATGCCTTGGAATTAAAGTAAACACTTGGTAATATTACCAATATTATTTTTACCTATTATAAGTGGTACAATGACCAGGTTTCCTTTAATGTCTTTGGTCTTACTGTGCAGTTTGTAAAAAGAAAATTCAGAAAGTTGCAGTCTTAGATGAAAAACTGGTGAAAATCATACTTGCTACAGCTTTTCCCATTTTCAGAAGCCAATAGATCTGTACTTCCACTTACTATGACGTTAAGTCTTCTCATATATATTATTGGTGGTACTAACTGGAGGCAGAATCAGAAATAATGTCAAATAAAAGTAACATTTAAGAGATAAATTGTTCTGAATAGTGCATCTTTCATATTTTTCACGATATCTGACAGGTTTTTTGTCCCTTTGCCTCTTTTTAAAAGTACATGCAGAAGTGAATATTTGATCTAGAGCTCTGAAACTTCCAATATCAGAACTTGGTAGCATTATGTCTTGGTATCTTATGTTTGGGGTCTAAAAAAGTCACAGATGTTGAGAAAAATATTCATTAAGCAGCAGTTTCAGTTCAAAGTTAGTTAAAACTGCACTCACGACAGCTTTCTCTATTTTTGAACGCTGATAGATCGGTAAGTATTAGTATTAGGACCTTGAAACTGCTCATATTATGTAGTCTTTGTGGTACTTTCTCATTGCAAAGGTAATTTGGAAACACTGTGACTTACAATTCATGCGTTAGTGAACACTGAAAATGAACCAGCCTATTAGATTTCATCATGATACATTGTACAAAATTGAAAATGTATATATAAAATATGTAGAGTCCTATATTTTAGTAATGAATGAATTACAATGTCAAGTAACAAGTGAAAATGTTAAAAATGCATTGATTTGTTTTCTACCAATATAAGTTTTTAATTGTATGCTGCAAAATGATAACATTGACCACGCCCACTTTCCAGGGGTAGGGTACTATAAAGTCATATTAAAAATCATAAATAGTACATTATCATTATTATAATTGTATTACAATATCAAACAAAGCTTGAATTAGTTTTTAGAAAACAATTTTGAGCTATTTAAGCTGCCATCTTTTGCTGGAAGCTACAAATATAAGATATGTGAGACTTAAAAATGACTAAAATTGCATATTTTTTTCCTATTAATTGCAATATTTCTGAGACTAATCCAGATATCGGCCTATAACTTTAGGATATTATTCATCTTTGGACTAGTAATGTGTGCTGTAGAAAGCAGAACAATAGCAACTATATCCTTTATGTTATGAAATAGTCTTATAGTACCCCCTGAAATCGCAGGAATTGAAGTCCAATTCGGCCGTGAAAATTGTTTTTACCACTTTAAAGGCCATCACCTTATATTTTCTTACACCTACTAGGTTACTCTAACATACTGCATTGCCAAAAGTTACTTCTTGCAAACTTCCGGCAAAACTGTGCCAGCATCTGATACAATATATTGATCCTATATTTCTTGGTTCAAGGGTGGGTTGTTGGTTGTTTTCAGTAGGCATACTTCTTTGAAGTTCAGTTGAATAATGAAGTCCCAGTTACATTGTACCTCGTGACCTTGACATTAGTCATGTGATCTTTGTCCAGGGGATGGATTATTCTTACTACATTTATTCTATACTTTCATATGTACTACTCCCCTAAACAAACTGTTTATAATTTCATAAATCCAATTATTGCAAAATTATTATTTACTCCTTATTTACTAATGCTAATTGTGTTTCTAGTTAATGGAGGTACTGGTTGTTGGACAGCATGGGAACAATGTTCTACCACATGTGGAGATGGAGAGAAAATTCGCACCAGAGACTGCAACAACCCTGCACCAGCTTATGGAGGAGCTGAATGCAGTGTCAACGATTTGACAGACAGCGAGCCCTGTAAAGTACAAGAGTGTCCTGGTATGTCATTAAACTGTTAGAAATCCATGAGCTTAATGTAACATAATATAGCCGTTTTTGTTCCTTTTTAACCAATGCTATTTTGTTTCTAGTAAATGGAGGACCTGGTCCTTGGACAGCATGGGGGCAATGTTCTACCACGTGCGGAGATGGAGAGAAAATCCGCAGCAGAGAGTGCAATTATCCTGCTCCAGCTTACGGAGGAGATGAATGCAATACCACTGATTTGACAGAGAGGATGTCCTGTAAAGTTCAAGAGTGCCCTGGTATGGCAATAAAATATCGGAAATCCTCGTTGATTATCAATATACGAATGCTTCCAATAACTCTTGGTACAATAGTTTGTTTTTTCAAAGGACCGCCATTCTTTGTTATGCAAAATTCATCCTTGGATCATTTAATAGGAAATTTACCTTTTGCACATTTTATAACATTATAGATAATTTCAAAAAGGTTTGCAATGTAAGAACCCACGTCTCTATCAACGATAGTTTTATGAGACGAGTTTGTCAAAAATTATAATATCTTTTTTACTGTCGGTCGTTTATAGATTTTCATTCTAAAATATCGTCTACGAAGTCTTCTGTACACAGTGAATATGTTTTGACATGCGAAAAGCTTTATTTAGTGATATTTTCATTTCAAATATGGTGGTCGATCCTATGTCTGACAACCCCTTTCAAAAGATTTAGGCAGTGTGCATTTTCATCTGTGAAATAACAAGTGAATTAGGGGTTTACGAAAAACACCGACCACCGACCAGTCATTCTCCACAGTTGGGTACACGTGGTCGGTGGTCGGCTGTCGGTCTTTTAGATAAAATATGAAAATATGCAAAATTAGAAGAAAGTAAAAGTGGAAAATCCTATGGTACCTTAACAAGGTCGTGATTTAAAAATGTATTTAATCATTTCAAATCACGATGAAAAACGTAACATCGTAATGGTGTGTAATGTCGTATTTTTAAGTGATGTCTCAGTTGTTAGAAGATCAATTTCATCCTGGTTAGTCACTTTGGATTATTGTGAGAAAACTCGCGTAACAATGCGTTAAAGGGTGACGCATATCGTTTAGCAAATCGAACGCTCGTTTCTGGTGTTGCTCACCGTTTAGTATAAAAGGCCCGATCCCGGAATAATACTCAAGGGTTCACAGGCTTGAGGTCGTTGTGTCAACACCTCTAACTGTTATATAGCATAAGTATATTATAGATCTTCACACATTTATAAAAGGGTGATTTTTATTTTGACAAATCAATTCCACATTCATGGGTGAAGTTTCAGGATCTTCTATTTGTGTATAATAAGGAAAAATTGACATCTAAATTTCCCAATAACGTAATAGCACACAGCTTGGCATATGAAATATCCTACAAATGAAACAAAGCAGTTCTAATACAAGGATTTATATTGGCTGTTGTATATATTCTTTGAACGCAATCACTCTATGGATAATGTTTTCAAAATCATTATAAACGGATTACTTTATCTCAAAGACAATTTCAATAAACTGGATTTTACAGAACTCCCCTTATTTCTTAAAAATGGACTGATCCAAGAGCCGCCATATTGTTTTTTATACGGGAAGCTTATCGTCACCCTTTAAGTTCATTAAAGTAACACATTTACGATGTATCTAAAATCTAAAACCTCAAAAAGTAATAGATATGACTATATGTTGTATAAAAAGAGATTTAAAAATAAAATTGTGTCTGAGAGATATATGAAAAGGGAAAAAAAAACTTAGTCTCGAACGGGAATCGAACCACCGACAGCTGGTTCAATCATCGCAACCTTAGTCCTGCGCCTTTCTACATTAGGCCAGACTGGCATGATGAATATCGGTGTATATAAAGCTATGTTATAAATTTTAGAAGACAGTCGAATCACTGCATAAGATTAATAAAAAAATAGTCAATAATCATTTTAATAATATTTAAATATCTATTTCGGTAAATTTTTAAGTCAAAACCAGGATTGATGATGTAAATTCAGTTTTCATTTAGATAATCTATTTCCTTTTATGAGTCGTAAAAAAAACATGGCTCCGAAAAAATATTTCTTGCATCCAAATTTCAAAATGATATATATCCATGGATCAGTTATTTTTGGCACCTGAACCCATCCTAATAGAAAGGTAAGACTATTTTCTTGACTCATATCGCTTAAATTGTCGAAATTCGGCCTAGAATCGTAAATGTGTTACTTTAATATGAAAGGCAGCACAGTCAGAGAGAATGTTTCTGGCGAAAGGAGCTTCTGGGATTTTAAATTTATGAAGTTGGGAAACCGGAAGGGCTTACCTTTTTTAATTCCCGAATCTCACCGAATCTCTCCGAAATTAGCTCATCTTGGTGACTGTAAATTGCACAGCTGTATTCAATGGAGTCTTGTCAATTTCAATCAGCCTCAATTTTAAAGTGTATATTTTATTTTCAACGTGATTTCATCGTTTTTTGTCGACTGGTAAGAATACGCTGGGCAAATGGCAAGATGGATGACTTTTGACCTGACCTACACCGATGGCGGTGACGTCATCAATTTTATCTATACAAATTCTATTTGGTCACGTGACCTTGTGCCAGAAGTCCGACTTTTTGGTCAGTCTACCTGTTCAAAGTACATTTAGTAATAATTATCGCTTTTCAGAACAATTTAGGAAACAATATTTTCTATCTACGTCGTTTACAAAGCATCTAAGGTACGTAAATTTATATGAATAACTGAGTCAATAGGGATAAATAGCCCAACGAGAGTCGGCGGTCTTAAAAATACTTGGATCTGGATGCCAGTCCTGGTATAGATATAGTTCCAGGGCAGTTCGAAGAACGTATTAGATGTCCGTGAAAGGCAGTAACAAAAACACACTTACATGTAACATTGTCGGTGTTCAAGTCGTAACGTTATGTTTGATTTCTCAGTTGTTAAACGTCAACTGGTAAAAACTACATCCAATATGACAAATAGGGTTTAAAATAACGCACTTAACATTACAGCATGTCCAGAATTCAGTAAAATATGACGATTACAAATCATATTCGGTAGGTCAGGAACCTAAAGGCAGAATACCTAAATCGAGAGGAGACGGTCATGCCCAATTTGTTTGCTTACCTTTGATTTTAGTTAATGGTGGTCCCAGCATGTGGGAAGCATGGGGGAAATGTTCTGCAACTTGTGGAGATGGTGAGAAAATTCGCACCAGGGAATGCAACAACCCTGCACCAGCATATGGAGGAGATGAATGCAATGCCAATCGTTTGACAGAGTCGGTGTTCTGCAACGTTCAAGAGTGTGTTGGTATGACACTTAATTATGAGAAATCCATGAGTGTATTGTAACAATTTTGGGGGTTGTCTTTTATCTCCTAAACATGTTTAAATTTATTTTTATATTGTTATTGTCTTCACTTTTTGTGACGGCAGTTGGCGTCCGGCGACCAATGACTTAGCAAAAAAGTATACACTGACTTCATTTTTGTTAAATTATCTACAAGATCTCAGATGTACACATCTGACTTTAGATTTAGCTTTGGCCATCAATGACCTTCTCAAGGTCAAAAAGGTCATAAGGTCTTTTTTCAATTCAACTGATCCAAATTGACCAATATTTTTCTTTAAATCATCTACAAGTTTTCAGAAGTTATAATCTGACTTTAGATTTGAAATCAAAATATTTTGAACACACCCTGCTGTATCTAATAAGCTGGGATACATAAACCCCATATGCTGGGTTTAGTGGAATAATGCTTCCCAAATGTGGAAAATTAACAATGTCACAATTACAGTCATCACTTTTGTCATATATACAAGGTGGTTCAAAAAATAGGACACTTGTATTTCAAAATAAATATTGATTCTCTTGAGGAAAACATGTCATATTATATACCAGTGGATAGGAAATTAACTTATCTTTAATTTGGTATATCATGAGTTCAAATTTATTATAATGTCTGTCAACTAGCGTCCATAATATAAATGACGTCAGAACAGTTGTTCCGAAACTTGCAAAAAACAATTTTTTTGATTTACATAAACAGACCCTCAATACGTCCACCATTTTGATCCATTCTAAACCTCAATTTTGGCCTAAACTGGTCAGATGCATCACTGTCATGCTGTTGAGAGAGTGAATTTGACTTTCCAATAATCCTGTCCTTAAGGGACTGAGTAGATGTAAGGGGTTCATAGTAAACCAATTCTGTTAGTTCTCCAAATACGCGTTAGTCGCAGACGTTGACATCGGATGATCCAATTATCCTGTTTTTGGACCATCCTGATATGAGCTCATTTTCGAATCATAACATTTTCCAACAAGATGGGGTTCCAAGCAATGGATCTCACAAGAGTGTCAAATGTTTAAAGGAAATATGCCTAGATTCATCCCCCTTAATCACTGCCTCGTCCAGATCACCCGATTACTCAACGTCTGCGACTACCGCCTATTTGGAGAACTAACAGAATTGGTTTACTATGAACCCCTTACTTCTTCTCATTCCCCCAAGGACAGGATTTTTGAGAAGTGAAATTTATTGTCTCAACAGTATACCAATTATGCTATTGACCAATTTAGGCTAAAACTGAGGGCAATAATTGATCAAAATGGTGGATATATTGAACATCTCTTTGTGTAAATAAAGTTGACAACAAAACTTGGTTTTTGCTAGTTTTTGAAAACCCGTTTTGAAACGAAAATGACATCATTTATATTATGGACGCTGGTTGACAGACATTATCATAAGTTTGAAGTTATGACATACCAAATTAAAAATGAGGCAATTCCCTATCCACTGGTATATGATATGACATGTTTTCATCGAGAAAATCAATGTCTATTTTTGAAATACGATTGTCCCATTTTTAACCACCCTGTATTCTGTTGTCTCGTTCAATGTTAATTTGAAGATCAAGGGTTGTCTAAACTTAACAAATCATCAATATATCGATCTGTCTTATTAAATATATATATACAGGGCGTTCAATAAGTATTGCTAATTTTGCTATAACTTTTGTTCTGTTTGCTTTTCCTTCATGAAACTTTCACAACATAACTACAAGAGGTACATATATCTGACTTTATTCTTAGAAAGTGTCAAGACAATCGAATATTAAGAAAAGTATTAAGAAAGTAATGGTTACTAAGGTAACCAGTATCATAACCCGCGATGTAGTAATCAGTAAATGATTGAATCGTGTACTATGATGATGATGGATATGCGGGGCAAATTTCTGATGTCACTTTGGACGACATTTTGAGTGTTGAAAGCAGTAATCCAGTATCATTAATGCCGTTTAACTCTTGGGATATGCAGTGCAGTTATAAATAATCCATTCTAGAGTCACTTCATGATCCATACTAACTTCATGAGGTGCTCAAAATAGGCAGGTAACCTTAGCGTCAATTCACAGTTGCAGTCTGGTGACCCACTCGTGGTACACATTTTTGAAGCCACCCTTAGAGTGGGTTGCTAGGGAGGTGTTCACTGCAGACATCAGCTGATTGGGATTCTGGTGCGATATTCCTCTCCGATCCCTTTTCACTCGGGCGAATACCAAAAAATCAAGTGGGGCCTTATCTGGGCAATATGCTGCGTGGGGCAATGCTTCCATGCCAAGCTCTGTTATTGTATTTAGGAGAATAGAGGATCTGTGAGCAGGGGCGTTATCCTGGTGGACCATATTAAACAAATACTGGATGATCAGGAGCTGGATATGGCAGAATACCTATTCGAGAAAAAATATTGGGCGAGGCGGTAGCCGAGCCCAATATTTTTTCGAGGATAGGTATTCTGGCCATATCCAGCTCCTGATCATCCAGTATTTGTTTTATAATGCAGCTCCCAATCAAAGTTAAGTGGAGTACTTACTGGAGTACAGGCTTAAACTGTCGTTTAGTTGACATTATTTTGACATTTATTTATTTTTTCTTTCAAAACTCAGACGACTTCCGGCCAGTTTATTCGCTACACTGGTCGAAAATATTTGCCCCGGGAATTTAATTTTTATTTATTCGAGACGTTCTTGCAGAATTATATGTAACTTTTGAATGATAAGGGTAATTGTGATTGATTAAGTGCATTTTTTTCTTCTATTTTCCGCCAGTTTCAGATGTAAGCTTTAAGTAGTACTCCATCATAAGAAATAAAACTCTGAAGTGGGAATGTTGCAAAAACATTGAAAAAAATATCCGACCCTTTTTCTCGTAAGGGTCAGATATTAAAAAAATATCCGGCAGTTTTCAGAAAAGAGCAGAGTATTGCCAAATTACAAGCAACTAAGAACCAATCAGATTTGAGTATTTTAATGAGGTGCATAATAAAGGTCGATATTGCTCTCTGAGGTTGATGTGTGTGGCCAGGGATGTACTGCAGACATCCGCTGATTGAGATTCTAGTGCGATATTCCTCTCAGATCTCTTTTCACCGCTGTAAGATTATACATATAATTCAAACGGACAACATCAAGATTTGACCATATACAGGGTGGGCCATAAAAAACCAATACCCAACTTCAAATGAGGATAAAAATAGTTACATTCTATATGGTACATTGATTTACATATCATTTTAAAGGTTATACATTTTCAAACAATTTGGTATTTAACACTATGTCATGAATTCAATAGTTAAGTTTTATTATACTTATTTGGGAGGCCGGGTTGCTATTTGGGGTCTCTAGATTTTAGGGAGAAAATAGTGAATCTAAGGAATTATGTTAATTTTTTATTTATAGAATATCATTCTTTTGTTAGGTGAATACATGCTTGGATATTGATATTTGCATCACTGTGTGACTAAATGTATTGTTTATGAATTTCAGTGTTGTTTAATAACATTTTACACTTTATTTATTTAAACAATTTTAACAATTGCTCAATATACCCCACCCCCTCCACTCTGCATCAACAATAAGCTTCAAGTGGTAGCGCAATCTATCAATAGCCTTATTGAGAGATTTCTGTTGCAATTCCTCTCAGCACTTTAGGATTTTGTTTCAATTCATCAATGCTGTTTATTGGATGCTTTTCATTGTATCATTTCTTAGAGATGGCTCCATGTATGGTAATCAAACACATTAGCATTGGGGCTGTTGGGTGGCCAAGCATCGAGATCAATCAAATTGATACCTTGTTTGCAAAGAAATGCCCATGTCTCCTTTCATCTATGGTACGAGGCAATGTGTCTTGTTGGAAAATAAAATCCTCGTCACATATACGTTTAATGTCTTTTAATAGACTCCCTTTGAGTACTTATTGATCTGATAACAAACAACACTAAGATTCATAAACAATAAGTTTAGTCACACAATATGCAAATATACAAGCATGTATTCACCTAACAAAATGATATTCTATGAATAAAAAATTAACGTTATTTCGCAGATTTACTATTTTCTCCCTAAAATCTGGATACCTTAAAAACCGACCCGGCCTCCCAATTAAGCATAACAAAACTTTAATATTGATTTCATGACATAGTGTTATATACCAAATTGTTCAAAAATGGATTACCTTTAAAATGATATATAAATCAATGTATCATATTGAACATAGCTATTTTTATTCTGATTTAAAGTTGGGTATTGTTTTTTTTGGCCCACCCTGTATATCAACAGTTTTTATCAAAAGTGTTTATTTGATGTATAACAATAATTAATCATGTAACCCTTAAGGTTGCCCTGCGTATCCGTGACAATGGTTGCCCTAGTAACCATAACTTTGTCAGGGTTGTCCAGAATTTTGGATAGAATAAGGTCAGATATGTGTTGCTTATGTTGTAAAAGTTTCATGAAAAACATGCAAGATATAAACAAAAGATATAACAAAATTAGCAATACTTATTGAACGCCCTGTATTTGAAATACACCTAAATAAGGCCAAAACATGATATTCTATAGACTGATCTTTACATAAGATTGTTGTTAATAGATTATGCACGAAATGCATTCCTGAAAAATTGGCCTGAAAATCTACACCTGAAGGGTATGTTTTATCCGTTTCCATGGCAATCACTTCACCATGTGACATGACATTTTTATCATATATTCAGTTAGCCTATATCAATATACCAGAGTAGTTTGAAATAGTCCAATTAGTATTTTTCGAGTTCTAGCCCAATTTAATAGTACGGGTCGAAATTATAGCCCAAATCGGGGGCCACAAACTCTAAAAACTTAAAAAGTAAGATCTAATAATCCATAAAATATATAAATTTATACTTGCAACATAAAATTCCATAAAATCCATCTGAACGCACGCCTAGACCCTCATTCTGACTCTACAGTGCGTATAAAAAAACGCAACAGATTGTTATCTCGAAAAAGCACAAAACCTGTGGTAACAGCATTGATTTCATTCAATGCACCATAAAGCCATGTGTCTCCTTTAACAATGATATATCATTCATTGATATTTGGTCATGGTTGGGCGAGTAATCATTCCATTTGCAAAGTGGGCCGAAATTAGCTTGGGGCCAAGTTATAAACATCGCAAAAGTCAATGTACGGAGGCCGATGCAATATTGGAAGAAAACATAAAACCAATGCTGACTGCATCCTTTTCATTCAATGTGCCAAAAAGACAAATTACACCTCTTTGCAATGGAATATCATTCTTTCACAGGGAGTCATCTCTGGCCGAATAATCATTAATTTTGCAAAGTGGGCAAAATTCAGCTCGGACCGAAGTTTTGAACATTGCAAAAGTCAGTACAAGGGGCATAGGGGCTATTGGAAGAAGGTGTGACAGGTGTGACATAGACAGTAAAGTTTTCATACTCATACTCTTGCAAGAATACATCCTATACCCCTCCAAAGTGCCACCACAACCTTGCACATAAAGATGCGCTCATCTGTCCACGTCATGCATGGTTTAGCCCTGAGTCATCTGTGGGTTAAAACAGAGAAAAGCAGCCCATGGGCAATTCTTTCTCGAGGTTTTGCAATATCTGGTGGGGAAATTGTGAGCACAGATGCTCCTGAGATAGCTCCAAAAGAAAAAGTTACAAAAGTTCAAGTAAGAGGAACTTCCATTAGCACTTAGCCTGTGCACTGTTTTTTTCAATATCTAAAACTTGGTGCAGAGCCGATTTTGACCCACTGTGCAAATGGAAGGATTTCTCACCCAACCATTATCACATGTGAATGAATGACATATCATTGCAAGGAGGAGAGACGTGGCTTTATGGTACATTGAATGAAATTGATGTAGTCATCACTAGTTTTGTGATTTAACGAGACAACTACTTGTTGGTTTTTTTGATACGCCCTGTATAATGTTCTTTAAGGAAACTGCACTAGGAATCTAACATTTACGATGATAGATGACAGCACTTTGATTCAGCCATCAGTTTTCCATGCAAGGGCAGCATTACATATCACAGGAACTGCACATCTAAGTCATGACAGCGTATCGTCTTTGACGACATATACATGGCAAATCAATATACTCAACGATACACATCCATATCCGAGCTCTGCAAATGTGATATATCCAAATAATACCGATGTGTCGACATATGAAAATCACTTGACCATTCGAGCAATGGGCCTAGATTATGGTGTATATTCGATTACTATGGGTGCAACAGCCATGCATACAGGAGTACAAGTCTGTATGTTTTTCAAACGGGTAAGTCTAACGGGCAATATCTGAGTGATTTATTGTATTTGTTGATTTACACCTTGTGGGGGAGAACCCTATTTTTACATGACTTGGGTCGTGATTTCATGTTTAATGTAGTTGATCCAACCCTAAGTGTGAAGAGTCAAACAAGCTGGACAGATATGATGTTCCTCACACCTTCTTTGAAAAGTAAGCGGAACAAACAAGCATGGTAATGTTGCAGCTAATATTTCTATTGATGTTTCAAAACCGGTGCGTTGCTAACAATTAAAGTAACAAAGTTGATTAACTAAGTAACAATTAAGTTTCATCCAGTCCACATGAGCCCAGGAAGCATCTGTGGTAGAACTCTCCTTACTTTTTGTACCATTAAGATGCATGTTAAATTGAAAAAGTTCCAATTAGAATTTCTCAAATCGCAGCCCATCGTTTTTTAAAGAATTTCAGAGAAATACAGCAAAGCATCTCACCTTCTTGTCAAAAAAATTTCAACAAAAATATCCCACGAAAATCAAAAGTTCTGCTTTCTTACATAATACGAATACCAAAACGTCATCATATTTATGCACATTGACCAATTCACCACTACCAAGGTCATCCATCCGCATAAAATAATCCCAAATATTCTACTGTTCATTGTTATGATTACATGTTTCCCAGTTATTCTGGGTATTATATGCTAGCAAATGAGAGTATTCTATCCAAAGATGGTCCTGCAGTATACCATTGAAGTCCCCAAACAGGTTTCTTATTAAACTACTTTCCTCATACCAAGAGATAAACAAACCTAGTAAGGATAGTACACTCTTATAGGGTCGTGGTTGAATCTCCATGCTGTTCGATATTCACTTTAATGTTAGGGGTTTTCTTAAGTCTCCAAACGTTCAGTCCAATCCCTTCAGCCTTTTCGATTTTATGGGGTTCTTCTGACCCCTGGGGTCATTATTTTTTTTCATACTTAAATCAAGACTAAAAGTGGATATTTTCTCATAAAAATAGCATATTCACCCCGGATTAGCCTGACTACGGTAAAGTCAGATACCGTTGTCACAATTGGCGGACATAACCGTCGCTTCAATTATATTTTCATGAACTGTATGTTTAATAGAGCACCTAGACTAAATTCCTTTGGAACAACAATCAATCAAAGTGTCTTAATACTCATTGTACAGTTAATAAGGTTCTACCATCGAAATAAAGTCTTTAATTTAACCGATCAAAATGAGATACGGGACAACGGACACTGTAATTACTATATGCAGTTGTCTTTCTAAATTACTCAAATTCAGATTCCGTTGTCATTGCCGATATCGAAGAGGCTATAGTGTGGCGATTCACGACCCAATTTGATCGAAAATGGGATTCCATATGATACATTATCACAAGAGCTTAATGCATGCACAGAATTAGCGACAATAAAATCCCATGAAATGAGGACCAGGTGATTAAACAGTTGAATCGACGGTTATCTGACTTTACCGTAGTCAGGCTATTCCGGTGTGATATTGGAGAAATGTTCAGTACAATTTGCGTTATCCACAAGACTTCTATTCTGCTGTGCAATGGTAAATGCAGCAATACACACGAAATCAGTAAATAATTTTGGGAGATTTTGAGCCCTAGTGATGCTAATAGATTAAAAAGCAGGTTAAAAGTGTAGCAATTGCAAAATTAATTCGTTCATTCTCTTAAATATGACTATTTGTTTATTAGAAAAATAGAAAACATTAAATTTGCGTGTAACATGCTGACTAGAGCTTCTAATAGACAAAAGGTTGAGTTACAAATTTAGATTCCACATACTTTAAGTGATACATTTAATACAGGGCTATATCAAACTGGTGCCTGCCCCACTGATTCCAATTATAAAAGGTGGGACATCACGGTCAGTTAATTCTATGGACACGGTTTTCATAGATGGAAGTCTCTCATATGATCCTGATGAAGATGTTCGCTATGAAGATGTGATGAAGTGAGTATATTAACTTATCTCATTACATGTACTTAAAATATACTCCACCATTACATGTATACTACTCTTTTTGACTTCAGAAATCATATGAACATAGAAATTCATGTTTAACATTGATATTCCATGCTATTGTACAAACCTCAGTAATAGGTGATGGATGCATGTATTGTATGTCGGTGTTTCTTTCAGATTTGAGTGGTCGTGCAGCAGATATGAAGTAAATTGTGAGCTTCCCGGGTTGAGTAACTGCACAGAAGAGGCGCTTAATGGCTCCTGCATAACTTGGTCCAGTGATACGTCTCTTATACTAACAGGTATGCTATCTTATAGTTGTTTGATCCTAATTTGAATAATTGCACAAATGAAGTGCTTAATGGCTCTTGCATAATTTGATCAAGGAGAAGTATTTGATAGGGGCGCTTATTGGCTCCCGCATGACTTGGCCCAGTGATACGTCTCTTATATTGGTACCTATTATACTGCTGGGTTGAGTCTAACGAAGCATTTTTGTAACAAAGGTTAGGGGAAAAGTGTTACTGGTTTTATCCAACCCTAACGAAGCAATTATTTAGTGTTACACTGCACTTAAAATGCTTCGTTGCACATGCGTATTACCCATCTGCCCCACCCACTTATTTATTAACATTCTTATTATTTTAATATAAATCAATGATCATAACTTTTAAACTTTTAACAATTCTTCAGAGAAAACACACGGTAGGGATTGTCATCACGTGACCTTCGCAACTGATGGTGTCTGAACAAGGCGTAAGATTTTCTCGATTTAGCAAGAAAAACGAATAATTTTCATATTTATACTTTGTTAATGCTTCAAATCCCGCCCCACTTGTGCATACTATCTCAGTCTTTCGAATGAACCTAAATTTACAAGCAGAGGACGCATATTTTTTGAGATATCACTGTTTTTTATTTCGAAAAATGATGGTGTCTGAACAACTCTTAAATTCTGCATGATGGTGTCTGTACAAATTTTAAAATACACTACTTGGAAAGTAGTCCTCGTGTTTTCGTGTGTTTTTAATACATCTGCTTCTTTCCAATGTGTTAAACCGAAATCAACCTGAAAATGTGATGTTTGCCTGTTATCACTGCCATCCATTGGTTGAATTTCCAACATTCACTGAACGATTTGCAAATCATGTGTGGGACAATCATCCATCAGAGGAATTTAGATACATCGTGTATTGTCACCAGAAACTGGGCGATTAAGTTATTTGATCAGACGTTATTTATCCAATATTACAAAAGATTACTTGATGTACTTGAATAAAACAATACAAAATGAATCCATCAATCGATTTAGACTGCCCAGGGATGGTATTATTCAGCATCTTCACACGCTCGGTCTTCACTGCGTTCCGACTGGAGCCAAGTGAACGAAAATGATTATTCAGTAAAGCCAGTCACCTTTTGAGAGGCCAGAGAAATCTGACCAATCAGAATACAGGATTTCTTCGTGATATCATTGTCCTGATTAAAGTCAATTGCTCTGCAAAATTATGTAACATTAATAAGGTCTGGCTTCTGCATTGTATAATAACTTATTAAATATAGGCTTTGTTGTACCTTATGCCCACGTACCCACGTACGTGTGTCGTGATACAGTCTTTGAAGGGTTCAATGTTAAAAGTGTAACATGGCCATTTTCATATTTTATATTTCTCACTTTTCATATTGATCAATCCTATATAGTTCCCTTATTCTCAATATAACCGGTCCCTAGGTTACTACTGTATCATGTTTTAATCCTCTTGTTTGCCATGCCTTACCTGCTATCTTTTGTTTCAAACCTGTTTTATTGCTGTCCATGCTGTGTTCATTTTGTTTTGTTTTATATTCCTTATATGGTAAAACATACTCACTCAGTTGAGTTGGGGTGTTGGCCCTTGTACAGGGTGTTCCAAAAGTAACAGGACTGGTACTGGCATTTTGTCAATTTTGCACAGATTGTCTTCAAATGTTCACAAATTGTACTTTGAAGTATTGCAACTACCATTGTATAGTTTCAGAAAAAATGATGAAATGCGGGTAGAGTTGTGGTTACTATAGTAACATGACATCACAATACCCGGGGCAACGATTTTTTCTGAAAATGTGATATCTAACATTTTTGTATTACTGAAGAAAGTATCTAATTCACCTATTATATTACAACATTTCTTGTTTATTTTATGAGTTGCTTTGTTGTAAAGGTGTTGCTATAAAACTCAGATTCAAGTATAATTTCATTATAATTATATTTATTCAATTTCCTAGAATATCACTATGAAGTACAGTCTGAACAATTCATGTTTTTTTTTATTTATTTTTTTTTTATAAAAATATTTATTCAAAAACATAAACGAAAAATACATAAACACAAACAATACTTAAATCAATAAAACTATGCACAAACGGAAATATACATATATCCTGGATTAGAATTTATACAATAGTAAAATAGGATTATTCACAGCATTATATACTCTATCAAAATGTTGATCCTTATACAATAGTAAAAGTCCATAAAATCCATTCAATCTTAGTAAGCAGCAAAGGCATTTATAATTTTCTTAAAATCATGAGCAATATTTACTTTTCCTTGCAGTTTAAAAATGTGTTCATAAATATTTAATTTAGATGCTATTTTCGATTTAAAATTTGCTTGTTTATATTGAGTTGGATTGTCTGAGTTTTTTGTCCAAATTCAATTCATGGTTGAGTTTTTGAAAAGACCCAATTTGAAGCCAGTCATCCACCTTGATAACACGCATGCCCGCAGGTCACCATTAAAGACCATGCAGCTATAGAGGAGCTAGGTCTTGAGTTCTAAAACCATGCACCATACTCTTCTGATCATGCAACATCCAATTTTTACTTATATGGAGAATGGAATGCTAATCAGTGCTGTAAGATCTTTTAAAAAAATGAGAATGACCTTCTCCAAGGACCATGCGTGACATGTCCTCAAATGGATTCAACCATGTGTTTGAGTCATGGATACAGAGTGCTACTCTACTACTGACCAAAGAGGAGCCTATTTTTCAAAGTACATAGGATACATAGGAATATCAAATTATGTAAAACAAATGTAATTCCCACCAGTTGTTGCATTTTAACTTTGATATGGGATGTACAAAATGCTTAATGTCTTTCTGTCTTAATGTAACTTTCTGCGTGGAATGTTGCCCCGGGTATTGTGATGTCATGTTACCATAGCAACCATAACTCTACCTGAGTTACACATTTTTTATCGAAACTTTGCAGTTTTAGTAACGATACATGAAAGTACATTTTGTAAAATTTTGAAGACGATTGGTGCATATTTAACAAAATGCCAGCACCAGTCCTGTTACTTTTGGAACACCCTGTATAGTTTGATACTTGTTCAAGTTGTTGCTTTGAGATTGTATAGAGAACACTAAGTTTATTTGAAATAGACTTTTTATACATTTTAACTTTGGTTTATGTTATATTTTATTCGCCACCCGCGGCCTTAGCCCCGGACATTACATTGGAACCAGGAGTGGGGTTGGTGAGCGAAGAAGTTAGGTAGGTGAAGGCAACAAAGCTTTACTGGACTAACAATCATACTTTTAATAATGGAATTTACAACAAAATGGAATACCATATCGTTTGTGAAGCGATGTTGGTTTTGTAAATCTACAAACCACACCAAGCGACAATGTGAACTATTCAAAAATGCCAGGTATTTTTGTTCAAAATGCCAAATATATGGACACCGTGATAGAGATCACCAGGAATTCCCGACAATCCAGCAAAATTTCGTGAGATCAACCAAGTCTGCCTCTACACAAACAAAACATTTAAAATCAAATGAACGATCAAAGCAACATAATAAATATTGCCAAACAGCAACTGTAAACATGGATATTTATCAATACAACATGGACAACTACAAACGCATAGAGAGTGAGTTATATGGAAAGAAGAATGGAAATCGACTATACAAGGAACGGATCATGGAACTGGAATCACAGAAGGATAAAAATTTGGCTGACACGAAAGCTCGCGACAAAGAGATCCAAGAATTGCGAAGGGGCTTACAGGAATATTCTGATCGAACAACTAGGGATGATAAAACCATTTCCAAACTGAAATCTGATCTGATGGATTCTGAGGTGAGAATAAATGTATTGACAGCTTCCTGTGATAAATATCTAAATACGATCATTGATATCAGGAATCAACTCAAGGAACAATCCGAAATAATCGAAATTTACAAAACAGTGATAAAAACCCAGCAGGAGAAATTGGATCAAATTATTACTCGAACGGGGGCAACTGAAACTACAACAATATGGAAACAATTAGGAGAACATCTATTTTGGAAAGGAAAGACACCAAATCATCACAAAGTGATACTATTTGATGTTTGATTTGAGGATATGTTTCGTCGTGACCTACAACTACAAGAGATGTGTATAACTTCTGCAACTTATGCATATTTACTATTTTATGATCATCTTCACAACCTAAAACTGCATTGATGAACTGTATAGATGTGGCCATGGTGCAATCATGACATTCTCACATATTAGTATATATTCTATGATACTAATTGCCAATTGTCTGTCATGACAATAGATATATTGTTAGTGACTTGCCTTTTACCACAATGTGCCAATCAAACCTATTGAGTAATCAATCTTTATGGTGTATTTGTCTTAAATTGATGTTTATTTATTAGCCAGTTATGGTGTTCATTTAATTGCCTATGGTGTTCAAGCCTTATGGTGTAAAGTAACTAGCCTTTATGGTGCTAAAGCCTTTTATGGTGCATATATTAAAGCCTTTAATGGTGTATACTAGCCTTTTATGATGTATAAGACTTAGCCTTTATGGTGTATATTAGCCTTTAATGGTGTTCATTAGCCTATATGGTGTAGACTGTATCCTTCGTCTGAATAAATTCAGACTGTAAGTCACCTATTGTAAAATGTGGTGTTGTATAAATGTTACAAATAAGTTTGTTTAATGATAAAATGATTACCTTATAAAGAACTTACAATATTATTTTTTCGTATATTGTCCTCTTACTGAAGATATTCATAAAATGTACAGACGCTTCTTGTAGCGAAGCCATTGATTAGGTCAAGCCTTTTTGGCAATGCCAATTCTCACGATGAACGAGATTTAACCAGTGACGTCAGTCTATTTGTAAACAAATAACACGTGGAGCGGACGGAGCAACATTACAGAAGCGTATTGATAAATTCCATTTGTGCGGGAATTTATTAGATCTAGTCATTTATTATCATTATCCCGATTAATTTTCGTCATTTATAGTAAATAGAGCGGAAATATTCATGAAGAAGGCCGAGGTAATCAAGTGGTCATGTGTTGTCAAAGTTCAAAAATTTGCATATCTCGTTTGGATCTCGTGAACTCAAAACGTCCTTGACATTGATTTCGCGATCTACAATATGAACATATCCTGAAGTTTTGGTGAGTCTGAACATTTCATTATTTAATATCAACTTGCACCCGCCTTATACAAATATTTTTGCTTCTAGTTTAAGATGAACATCTCTTCAACATATTCACCAATTTTCAAGGTGAACATTCTTGTAATAAACGAGAAATTTATGTGCAAAAAATATCACCGCGATTTCCACAGGAAATATATCAATCATAACAGACCGAATATTATATTTGGTCTGTTGGATACATACTTCTATATGGTGTATAATAAGCCTTTTATGGTGTACAATAGCCTATATGGTGTTATATTTTGCCTTATATGGTGTTAATTAAGCCTAAAATGATTTTACTTAATATGTTTTTTGGTACTTCAATGGCTTTTCATTTAACTAGTCAACATTTTATACTTTAGAATTATGTTATACCTTGCTTTATAATGTTGACCATTGTGGATGCTATTAGGGGAGGAATATGCTCATTTTTATACAGATGTGTCACATAATTTTAAATTGCTACAAATCTTTATCCTTTATGTATTTTGTATTTATGACCTACTTAAGGTAAATGTGGGACGCATTTAGACGTTGTCCGAGTGGATGTAACATGGCCATTTTCATATTTTATATTTCTCACTTTTCATATTGATTAATCCTATATAGTTCCCTTATTCTCAATATAACCGGTCCCTAGGTTACTACTGTATCATGTTTTAATCCTCTTGTTTGCCATGCCTTACCTGCTATCTTTTGTTTCAAACCTGTTTTATTGCTGTCCATGCTGTGTTCATTTTGTTTTGTTTTATATTCCTTATATGGTAAAACATACTCACTCAGTTGAGAGGGGGTGTTGGCCCTTGTATAGTTTGTTACTTGTTGCTTTGAGATTGTATAGAGAACACTAAGTTTATTTGAAAAAGACTTTTTATACATTTTAACTTTGGTTTATGTTATATTTTATTCGCCACCCACGGCCTTAGCCCCGGACATTACAAAAGCTTTAAAGGATTATCCGATCAATTTTTTAAAAATAGCGCCATTCAAAGGCTCGTCCAATAGGAAAAATCTATGTTAAATTAGGTTTTAATATGTCGGGGATTTGCTAAATGGAATTCTGTGCTTCATTTTGTTTAATCACAGCAAGGGGAACGATGATTTTAGTCTCGGGGATCGTAAATTCATCCCAACACGCGAAAGTGTAATTGTTTGCTCAATTGTGGATGGTTATTCCGAATTGGATGACAGGGAGAGTAGTACACCCATAAAGAAAAGGTTGTAATGCAACCTAAATGTGGCAATATAGTCACACCTTAAAGACGACTTCCTGGAAGTCCCCAGCAAATGAAAAACGTGACAATCTTAGTGAATATTGCTTCTAGTGAACGAGCATTAATAGATAAAGGATCCGTCACACCAAGTATATAAAACTGCCCCCAAGTCATTCATGACCATTATGACATATAATATGGTATTTAGTAAGGCGTTAATTATGGCATAGTGTTCAGGTGTATCCTAAGTGTTATTGAGGCCATAGTGACTTTGTACAGGTCAAGTCAGTGTATATCTGATAATAAAAGATTATTGCGTGCAAAATCATCGTTTACAAAATTTAAAATGTGAAATTATGATAAAGAATGTTGCAAAGGACAATTTTGACCTTAACCTTTGATTTTCATTTCATTTTTTTTGTTTTATTATTTTATTTGGTTCCATTGACTTAGCATATGGATATCAGCATGTATCGACTTTATGATATCCTGATGTTAAGTCAATTATTCTTTCAAATGAGCTGGGTATAATGCTCCTTCTTAACCTTGGGACAGCCTTATCTTGACATTCTAGGCAGGTTACCAATTTCCCTCGAGTTATTATTCAATTGTATAGTTATATTCTTAATCCACTTTGTACATTTGTAGCACGAGTATAGTCAACATCCAAAATGGTACAAAATATTTCGAAGAAAATGCTCGACATATACACATATTTCAAAGCAAATTGTGTGACATACAGAACTCGCCTTTGTTGACATTTCATTGAATAATTCTATTAAAGGTCTAGTTTTTAAATCTTTTACAGATTTTCTTTGTAAGATAATAGAAATTGTCTAAAATAACATGTATTTATGATGAGTCAAAACAATCAGTTCATTTCTCCAAACAGAAGAGTCATCTTTTATGTTAATTAAAATGCTGTTACCCACAGGGCCAATAATGCTTTGGCTTAGGCCCTGTTTATGCTGTTTATTAAGACTGTTTAAATAAAGGAACCATAAAAACTAAACTCGCATGAAAAGTCCGAACAGAATGCGTTCGCCTTTTTTCGACGTGCACTAATGCATTTACAATTCAGCATAGACGAAGATTGAATGATCTTATATTTAAAAAAATTGAACCCTTGAAAGACTGTATCATGCCCCACGTACGTGGGTCGGGACGTGGGTACGAGGTACTAGGTTTTTATACAAAGCCTTGAATATACGAGAGTACAGGGATGCATAGAATATAATAAACAATTACACATGGAAACATGGAGACTGGTATCCATGTCGTGTATTCAAAAATTTGCACAGACACCATCATAGAAAATTTTAGAGTTGTTCAGACACCATCATTTTTGAAAACGAAAAACAGTCATATCTCAAATAATATGCGTCCTCTGTTTGTCAATTTAGGTTCATTTGAAAGACTGAGATAGCATACACAAGTGGGGAGAAATATGACGCTGTTAACAAAATATAAATATGAAAAATATTCATTTATCTGGCTTAATCGAGAAAATCGTACAGCTTGTTCAGACACCATCAATTACGAAGGTCACGTGATGACAATCCCCACCGTGAAACAGCAAGTTCGAAATTCCCGGGAAAATAAAACCAGATGAATGTGATCATTCCGCATATGTGCTTTGCGAACGGATGTTGACCCTTTGAATTGCCTATGTACTTCGAGACTGGATTTTATCTATCCCACATCATTTGAGACCGAATACTCTTTTATGAGTACTAGTATCTACAACTATTTTTGATGCTATGAGTATTGGCTATCAATTAATTCAATTTTTCTTCAACATGTATTGTAATTACATAAGTATGAATGAACTGTTCCTTGGTGTTCTGGTCCTCTATTGTGATATTGGTTCTCGGTTGGAGGGGGGGGGGGGGGTGTTAGACATTGTTTCTTTTCACGTTAGATCATGGTTTTGGGATATATCTATTTTGTTTTGTTTTTTGGGATATACCAGGTTGTTCAATAAGTTCATGCAAAAACACTCTCATTTTTTTATTTCTCAATGTTTTTCTCTGAAATTTTCACAAGTCATAGAAAAAATACCTACTCATTGAAACACAAAAAATAAATTACTTTGTTGTGATTGGTCAAAAGTTATGGTTACTATGGTAACCCATGTTTTGGTCACGCGGGGCAATATTTTTCTCTGCGAATCCCAAGTTTAGTGCTTATAGAAAGCTTTTCATGCAAACACATTATTCTTTCATTTTGATTCCATTTTAAATGAAACACCTATTGTTGCTATGGTAACATGTTGTATGACATCACAATTACATTTGTATTGTTACATCATCATATGTAATATGTGTGACATCATCACACCAGTCACACTTGAGTGAGATCAAAATGGCTGATCAAGCAAATGAAAACATTTCTTTGACAAAAGATGAAGAATCTGCTCAGATAAGAGCTGCAATACGATTTTGTGTATTAGGGGAGCAAAGCAGACAACAAACAATTCAACAGATATGGAGAATATATGGCAGGGACTCGATCCAAGAGCGCACTATTTATAAATGGTATGAGAGATTTTCTAAAGGAAGGGCTACAGTCAGAGATGATCCAAGAAAAGGCCGTCCAATCACAGTGACGAAACCGAAAAAGGTTGAAGAAATCAAGGGAGTCATGGATGAAGATAGAAGAATAAACCTGAGAGAGCTTAGTGAGCGGGTTAATGTAAGCCTTGGCAGAACACATCACATTGTTAAAGACATATTGAAAATGACATTGGTATGTGCCAGATGGGTGCCAAAGGAGTTAACATCATCGCAAAAAGCCAGGAGAGTTGAAGTGGCTACACACTTCCTGGAATCGTATCAAAGGGAGGGAGATGCGTTCCTCCAAAGAATCATAACTTGTGATGAAGTTTATGTAAGCTATTATCAGCCAGAGAGTAAGCGTGAGAGGAGTGGCTGGCGTACCAAAAACTCACCAACTGCATTGATGACACTATCCAAACTTCAACGGACGGATGGAAAGGTCATGTTTATCATCTTTATAGACATCACCGGTGTGATCCTGATCCATGCAGTTCCAGAAGGACAAAAAGTCAACAAAGAGTACTACACAATGGTATGTAC